AATTTATAGGTTTTATATGCAGACAACTTCGTCTCATGACTTATATTTTAAAAAAACGGTGAATTTAATTTAGAGTTGGTCAAATTTGTCTATTTTTAAGAAGTATACTGCTTTTTGAAATCAAATTAATCTTTCACTGACCAGTAGTTTACCATCGCCTGAAGAAACACATTTATGTTGTGGAAAAATAATTGTAATTGTGTTGCAATTTTTATAACATGTTTTAATATCCTGAATTGAATAATATTTAGTTCTAGTATGTATTCAACTCTCTTCTAAATTAAATGTTACATCCATTGACATCATACTCCAATTGTTCTCTTTTTAACTGGATTTATATATATATATATATATATATATATATATATATATATATATATATATATATAGTTTCATTTTCTCTCCCCGTGGATGCATGACAATATACTCCAAAAATAATCTCGATTTAACGGAATCCAGTAAATCAGATATTTTCCAAAGTGTATGGACTGTGGATTTTATTTTATAATAACCTTTAGTGATTTTCATTAAAACTAATATAAATCTCATTCACTGAGATACAATACGAAAAATTAAATAATGCATAGCTTCGTTTGAATTTTTTAACTTTATTTAATAGATTATTTTTTTATTGAATATAATATTTTTCATAAAACTGTTTCTCAGGAATTAAATTGCTTCTTGGGTTGCGCTCTGATTAACGTAAATTCCCGTGAAAAAACGCCTTCCTTCATTAGTATTATTTATTTACCTTTTAATAACGTAAATACTGTAAATATTTTAAGTTTATTTTCATTTGGAAAATCGTATCTTATGCTCCAGTTAAGATAATATCTGATATCAGTAACCGATATTTTTTTTCTCTGACTAAAGTGTAGATCTGCTTATCTGAATAGAACAAGCCGATAAGACGTAAAAGACACCTGGGAAAATTGTTGCGATAAGCGTGTGGCGAAAAACTAAAGCTATGAAAATATTTTCTAAATATGCAACGTGACCATCGAAAGGGCTCTGCATATTTTTTCGTCTCTTTATCGATTTATCGATTTTTGTGCTTTCAGATTACCTCTTGTGGAAGTTTCATCTCATCTCCCCGACAAGTGGAACGTGACTGACATCTTCAATACTATCGCCAGCTTTTATATACGCGCCCACCAGTCTGAATTCAAAATTTTAGTTATCATTAACATTTACGCTTTTTCTCGTTTCTTTGGTTTGTATTTGCCGGGTGTCAGAACGCCCAAGAAAATCATATATATATATATATATATATATATATATATATATATATATATATGTGTGTGTGTGTGCTAAGAGCATGTCAACCTCATAGAACAAAGATATGTTTTAAAAGAAAGAGAAGAAAGAAGAGAATAGCGAGAATGGTTATCAGTATCAAGTGTTTTATAAAAAAAAAGAAAGTTGCAGTAAAGAGAGAATAAAAGAGTAGAATATAAGCCGGGTGTGAGAGAAAGAAAGGTAGAAGGAAATAATAAAAGAGGAAGAAATGTAATAGTAAAGAAGTGGGAAAAAATAGTTAATATGCAAAGAAAAAAGAAGAACAAAAAAGAGTGAAAGAGAAAGAAGTAAAAAAAATAGTAATTGAAACAGAGACTAAAAGAAGATAGAAAGAAGATGCATATCAAGTCAGAAATTCAGGTATGAAAAAGTGCAATTTGCTGTAGAAAAAGAAAGAATATATATACCGTTTGGATTCCCTGACGTCTTGAAATCCTTAGCGAGTTCATCCCGAGACTGATTTACCGTGGAATTATCTAGATATAATCATCAGTAACATTTCTTTTCTGCAAGTTTTACAAACATGTATAAAAACATAATACAACAACTGTGCGGTGAAAACAGGCGACGGAACATCTATATTGCCTTGCGAAATAATATACTGGGATTTCATTGTTTTCCATATGACAGCAAACGTGTAAATTATTCCAATATCTGCAATAGAAACCAAGACACCATATATATATATATATATATATATATATATATATATATATATATATATATATATATATATATATATATATATCATTCTTAGCATTCATAGTGATACCGCTGGTAAGAGATCGACAATGATCTTTCTACCGTATAAACACTAGTTATGCCGTTCTCGGATAATTCCGATATTTATAGCAGTGATTGGAAGTAAAGGGCGTAGCGTGTTTCACTATAACACCGAAGCTCCACTATTAAGTATGACTTCTGCAGCAGTTTTTGACAAAGCACGACAATTTTCACTTAAAAGTAACACAATTGCAAAACTTCGAGGGAAAAACAATGATTTCTACAGCAAAAAATGTTGTTCCGAGAATGCTTAAATCAATTAAAACGACACTGGGTAAAGTGTGTGGACTCAGTAGCGGACTAATTTGAAGGGTATTAAATACCGAATTAATATGTATTGCAGTTTGATTTTGTTTTATAGCAACAGTTACGAAACTTTTTAAACAGACATCGTAATTATATATATATATATATAAATACTTTCATAAAATAAAACATTATTATTTTTTAATTTGAAACTTTTTCTATATATATATATATATATATATATATATATATATATATATATATATAGTATACAGTATGCAATGTGTAAATTGTTGCTATATTATGTTTTAATTTCGAGCATGCGCGTTGTTTGTTTTTGAAATTGTCTCCACAGTATAGTAAGGTCAGTTGGGAACCGTCTGTGAGAAAAAGAGCAGCATGTCGCAAGGCAATCTACCAGAAATATTGTAACGATATGCCTAACTGCTTGGCAATACACCAGAAGATCCAATACGTACATTTCAGGGCGTTTGGTGTCAACCTGAGGACAGTGAAGAGAATTCGGAAAGAGTTGGATGAATCTAATAATGATTTCGTATGTACGGCGGCGCGGGAAACTCAGTTTGATCGTTCTTATGAGAAAAGAACAGACGAATTTGTTGTTGAATGTCCCAGGTTGAATACGGAGACCTACATCAAGTGCCACACAAACAGGAGAAACCAGTCCTTGTCGTTAGACAATTTCGACGGCCATATCACCCCTTACATCTGGCCCGTAAATCTCCAGACTGCAATAACCTTGATTATTATGTTCTGGGCGAAGTTGACCAATAAAACTCAGATGAACTGAACGTAAGGGTTACAGCAGCATTCACCAAATAAATAAGGAAACAATTGCAGGAGATTCCAAAGTCGGCTCTGAAGCCAAGGGCGATTATATTATATACAAGTACTCTTTAGCATTTGAAGTTATTACTGTGCAATTTTGGTAAATATATCTGTTAAAATGAGATGCCAGTGTTATATTAATTTTAGATAGATAGATAGATAGATAGATAGATAGATAGATATTGCTAATATACCTCATAACACCATCGAACGTTTAGCCTTGGAGCGGGTAGAATGGACATCAACGTCTTTTAGTGGACTAAGCATTTTTCACTCGGCTTCTCTGAATCGTCTTCAAGAAGCAAGAGAAAGATATAAAATGTTAGGTAATTTAACAGTGAGCACTTCCCAGAATCATTAGTCTTGCTCCATATGCGGCCTCCTTTGTAAATCACTAGTGGGTCTTAAGTGCTACTTAGTATTATCGCACAGAATTTCATAACTGAATCAATGAAATTGCCAGATCCTCATAAGTCGATGCCGACGGGAGAATATATATATATATATATATATATATATATATATATATATATATATATATATATGCACATTTTCAGTTCACCTGATGAATATTTATGAGCGTCTTTAAATTTAAAAATTCCCTTTCGAAGTTGCCACATGACGTAATCTAACGTCGAAATTCCGAGACATTTCAGACTTGTTTAATATGTATGAGCGTCTATATATTTTCTAATTTCCTTTCAAAGATGCTGTATGACGTAATCTAGGTTTTAACACCTAAACCTTTTAGTTAACCGGATGAATATTTATGAGCCTTCTAAAATTTAAATATTTTGAATAAATATATACATGCTGCTAAATAAATACCATCATATTTGAGTTCAAAGTTTAATTTTTCTCTTGTTTTTCTATTGATTTTGTCTCTTCTGTAGTTATATTTCAAATGAGAAAATTTACATTCCCTCCTTTTCTATTTTCGCTGCGCAAATTCGCGTTGTTTTGATTTTAGTCTTCCCTCATACCATTAATCATTTCAATTTTTAATGTTTTAATTGTATGTAGGGTGTTTGTGGGAGTAAATGTATCTTTGCAATAAATTATTAATCTGTTCCCAGTCGACCCTGATGAGCTTGGAAACGAAACCGTTTGGTCTGTCTTGTAAGTGTTTTCATTTCTTATTTTTTTATTTTCAGATTTCACAATGCCAATAAGAAACAAATTATTTCTTTTCCTTGCAATATTACGTTTTTGTACCTCCAACAATTTATTTAAATATGTGTGTGTGTGTGCGCGCGCGTGTGTGTGCGTGTTGCGCTGATAGGCTTATGTGTACGGACATACCCTGTGACACAAATTGATGATTCTAATTAGTATAAAACCAAGGAAAACTAGAAATCACCAACTATCATATCTATGTCACAATGTAATCAGGTCGATTGACGCAGTGCCAGGGTCACTGATTTCCCATCGGAAACCAAATTCCTCATATAAGAACATAATATCTATCATGCTATGTCAGCGTACATGTATCTAAAATTTATGACTGAAGATAAGTATTAAACTTAATCATCTGGATTAGAATTATTTTAAGTCAATCATGAAAATAACTCTTATTTGTTTATTCCATCATATATATCTATATATCTATCTATGTAGGATTATAACGATCTTATTATTACTTTATATATATTAGAAGATTTAATTCATAAAAATCAGAATAAGAAGTGATAAAATTGTACGGGGAACTTACATGATTGGCACAAAGAATAAATAATAGTATCAGAGAAGAACAAAAGGTTTTATGAATACAAAAGCATCGATTTTACACTTGCAATCCCTTTTATCCTCTTTTTCATTCTTCAATGCTTTTCGTCCTGCCTTTAACACTTGCTTCCTCTCTTATGCTCTTTTCAACTTGTATCTTTGTCTTTCCCCTCCTTTTGTATTCTTGCTATCTCTTTTCTACTCTTTTCCTCGTTTACTTCCGCTTAAGTCCTTTTTTTCATTCTTGCTATCCTTTTCGTCCTCTCTTTCACACTTGCTACCCCTCTTATGCTGTTTTCAATTCGTATCTTTGTCTTTCCTCTTTGGAAATCTTGTTTTTTCTTTTCTACTCTTTTTCTTTTCGTTTACTACCACTTTTGTCCTCTTTTTCATTCTTGCTATCCTTTTTATCTTCTATTGAAATCTCGCTCTATGTCTCGTTGTTTCTCTCCTTCTCCTCTTTCTGTGATTATTCTCCTATATTTTTTTATAAAAAAAAACCATTCAATAATAGAGACGTGCATGGAAAGTGAGTCGGTGTCGAGCATGTCAAGCTCGTGAGCGATTTATTGATGGTGACGTCAGAAACGAAACTATGGCTGACAGACAAACTGACATTTACTGCATTAAGCAAACGAATGTTTTCGCCAGAAAATGTGTGGTCACTTCAGACCTTACCTGGTTGTGGATCGTGATAAAATCTGGTAAAGTCGTAGGGGTTTTCTGGTTTGAAGATTCACCTTGGTTACACAAGACGTCCACACATCCGTACCCAACTATACACGCTCTGGGTGCAGAAATAGTTATGGGGCCCAGTTTTTTTTTTTTAGTACTAAATGGCCGTTAACCCACCAAGAAGATTTAAAAGATGCGGGTGTCTAGACATCCTCCTCACCAGAATAGACTCGTGGGGGAGCTGTTTGATTCGCTGATTAATCGAGCAGATATCAGGCAGTATTTAGTTTCCCGATATTATTAGCACCCGACCGACCTAACAAATAGACAAGCAATATATCAACCCGAGTGCAATGGTTAGCAAGTTTGTTTCGCTAGAACAATTACGGCTGAGTAGTGAGTTCGATTCTTAATTGGCGGCCTTGTGCCATATCGAACATATGCTTGGAAAATCAATATATCAACCAGAAAGATGTGTTCAGTTTGGAAAAATCTGAGAAAGGTTTACGGCTTAAAAAACAGCATAAAACGTGTTAATTTTAATGATAATTTACGGAAATACTCAGCATTTATTGAGCGAGCAGCTTGTATTTAGGTTGAACTTTATAAATAAGTCTCTTAAAATATTTTTTCAGGAAAATAGATTTCTCATGCCAAGTATAAATGATCACTTTTTCCAGTATTGATAGAGGTTTCCGTCTGAACTTTATATTTGATATAGTGTGGAAGGTCAGTGTGTTAATTCTGTCGTATATATTGTTTCTGTCAACATCTTGATTATATCGTTATTTTAATAGATATATAAGACAGCAAAATATTGACGACTCTCTTAATTTCTTTAGAAACTTGCATTAAGGATAAGTGTGATTATATGTGCATCAATAGATCTCTAGACTTTTACAATTATTAGGCGTAATTGAAGTAAAATGTTCGCTCTGTAATGTTTGATCTATGTGTATAAACAAATAGGGTTGTATTAAGGGTTTGAGAAAGGAGGAGATTATGTTGGAAATAAATGTTTGAATATTTGTGAATAATAAATGATTTTATAAATTTAAATATATATATAATAAAATGATATATAAATATTTTAATATTACTATTAAAGAACCCAAACACCCACCACCACGCATATATATATATATATATATATATATATATATATATATATATATATATATATATATATATATATAGGGTGTCCTTAAGGTTTAAAAACTTATAACTTTGTATTTGCGATAGAAATAATTTGTAAAAATGATTAGAAAGAAGTACATCTATATTTTGTTAGGTTTTATTGAAATTTTATTTAAGTTTCCACATGTCCTCCATTATTCGGCAATCCAAAGGGTAAGCGATTTTGCAGTTCACGGAAAATATTTGCCAACTGAGTTACAGTAATGCCTGAAATCACATTAGTTATTTTAGCTATACTTAAAACTAGTTACATTAAAATTTATAACATTTTTTACAGATTATTTCTATCGCAAATACAAATAAAGTCAGATCTATTTAAAGTGCTCACGAAATTCATGGACACCCTGTATGTATGTATATATATATATATATATATATAGAGAAAGAAGAGATTCAGGAAAATTCCACTGTTCGTAGAATCAATTTAAAAAAAATGCTCAATACAAAGGAGTGAATATAATTATTATTATTATTATTATTATTATGAAAGATTATAAGAAAAACATACTGAAATCGCTACAGAACATGTCAGCGATAAATGCAAGCTTATTGTAGACAAATACAATACATTTGTCGCTGACATATTTTCCGCAATCACCAACAAATACCTGTCTAAGTTCCAGTTTACGATGACAGGAAAATTAAATCACCCACCTCCAACCTCTGAGCTTAATTTTCTATTTAGCTTAGATCTGATATCTAATTGGTTAATCAAAACATACCCTGAAGTCTAATTTTAATTCTGACCATATGTTTCCCCAACTTTGACTTTCGGAACAGTGTTAAAAATTTGTTTTTAAATTTCCTCAAAAATCATTTAATCCCCAGTTACTTACCATCGCCTGACGAAGTACAATCAAATATTGAAAAATGAAAATGTTTTTGTAGCGATTTCAATATGATCTATTAAGATTTTTATAATGAAAACGATAACACACACACACACACACATATATATATATATATATATATATATATATATATATATATATAAAATATACAAAGAAAGATCATTAAGGTATATAATCTGGTGTTCTTATAGATATTTTTATTTTTACAAAATAGAGCTCAATGTTAATTTACGAGCATTAATACTATAAATTAATTGATTTAAAATATGTTTTTCCGCTGAAAAAAAAAAACGGAACAGTAGCGGAAAAACCATATTTTAAATCAATTAATTAATATATATATATATATATATATATATATATATATATATATATATACACACACACACACACACACACATATATATATATATATATATATATATATATATATATATATAAATTAAAAATACTGGAAGCTTTAGTAATAAAAAAAAAAAAGGCAACAATTAATATTATTAATTACGAACACGGCCACAATGTGCTAACTGATGCTGGGAAAATAAAACATCTCTATAACACTAAAACATCTCTATAACACTAAAACATACACACAACCCACACACTCAATTAAATTGAAAAAATAAAGACATCCTTGAAAATGGCTAAAAGTATAACCGAAGCGCTTTGAATTATAGAACATTTGGGCAGTTTCTACACATTCTGTCACATAAAGGAAACATTTATTCGAACACAGGAAAAATTAAATAAAACCTTAACCGTAGTGCCTTGTCTGTCATTTTTAATGAAACATGCATAAATGAAGGATTGCTCCCTAAATACACAATATATATATATATATATATATATATATATATATATATATATATATATATATGTGTGTGTGTGTGTGTGTTTGTGTGTGTGTCTTCGTATGTATGTGCGCGCGCATGCGCGTCTGTCTGCATAGGTTTTTTTTTGTAATTCTTTTTGTGGAATCAGGTTTATATTTTTCAATTCTTGTTTCCTTATCTCTGTCAGGTTTCCTGATTGAAATGTGTGTGCAGACAACATTCCTTTCTTTGACATTCTTTTTCATCCGGACAAAATGTCATAAATCCATTTCATGCGTTCAAAGAATATTTCTTCCTGTGTCTATAAATCCATCGTCCATGTTTATGCCTTATAATCCTTGTTTGTCTGAGGCCGACCAAACAATTCTCAGATTCATGTGAAGTAACTTGCTTCGTTCAAGATTTCAAATTTCGGTCGATAAGGATAGACTTATTCATTGATGTTTTAAAATTTCGATTTTAATTTTAAACTTTCTTTTGAATTAATTTTAACTCTCGTTTTCCTTTATACAATATTAAGGTTTACAAATGATTTTGAAGTTTCAAAGGAAAAGTCGTAAAGATAACATATTATTTAAGTTCAGGTTGAATGTTTGTAAAACTCTAAATGAGATATCTTATTTCCAATACGTATGGGAAAGAAAAATGTCTCTCAAACGTAGAGGAATAATGCTATATTTACTGACGAGACACAGTGTAGTAATGGATAGCGGCTTGGATTGCGCACTCGTTGGGCCAAGTTTGAATTCCAGTCGAACCCATTACATTCACTTACGTGCTAATAACCTTGGGAAAGTGAATCCTCTTTTTCTCCCTCCAGGTGTGGTTAATATCAGGACAGACTGGCTTCTATAGCCTTTGATGTCAACTCGTCTAGGAGAAGGTCAACTCTGAATTGAAACCCGTAATGGAGCCCCTAAGGCGGATGGACAGCACTTTATGCTACCTTCCGGCAACTAATAAACCAATACAGTTTGGTACCAGTAAATAGATGGTGCTACAAGGTTTAGGGAAGATAATAAAAAGACAAAATTTATTAAGAGATAAAAAGGATAGGAAAATGTGGAGATACATGATCGTCAACATCCCAAAGGGACACGGCACATAGAAGAAGAATTATATTCGTCTTTTTAATTAACATTATTACTTCAAAAGAAAATTCTGTCTCTAGAAATTTAGGGAAAACCTGTGTAGAAAATATGAACACAAATCCGGAGTGGAGCCCCTAAGGCGGATGGACGGCACTCTGTTCTACCTTCCGGCAACTCATGCAGCCGCTCTGGTACCAAACTGTATTGGTTTATCCTCTCCTTTGTACTCTAGTAGCAAGGCCGAGAGGGGGACCTAGACCTCCGTGCAGCCCTAGTTCTCCATATCCGCCCAGGCTCGTAGCGCACCGCGATACTCCATCGTCTCTCGAGACGGACAGATGCCTACGACAACGACGGGGACTCCGAATAATAATTACAATAAATGTTTCTATATGGCCGGGCTATGTTTGCATTAGGATCGAATAAGAAAAACAGAAATCTAATTATTTTGTAATCTGGGCAAATAATATCAGCTATTTTCTTATCCGTTCAAATGGTTAATTCAACTTGGCTCTTGGACATCTATCGATATAACTCCATATTAGTTATATTTTCAACGGATTTCTTTATAAGTCAATGACCACTGCGAACTCATTATATATATACACGATTGATATTGCTTTATTTTCATGTTTTCAACATTCAATTAATCCTTTCCATTAGTTATGTTCCAGTGTAAACAATCAGGAAAAAAGAAAAAAATGTATAGTATTTGTTTGATTTTGGAGAACTTAAACTAATATTATTTTAATCTGCATAATTTTAGGCAATCTATATTTGAAAATGTCATATAGCTCACAGAGGAGGCGAAAAATGTCGCTAAACTTTCATAGTGTTCACAAAGGGTGGAATTGTCTTTTTTAAATTTGATATATATTAGTTCAGATATTTTTGAGTCATTAAGAATTGTGTGTGTTTTTTTTTGCTTTATAGATTATGAAAAAGCATTTGATAAAGTTAGTTACAAATTGATATTAGAATTGCTAGATAATCTAGACATATTTGGGGAGGATATTAGAATAAACCAGAACATGTAATAGAAGCAAATAACCCCCATAGATAGAAAACGAATTCAGTAAATATACAAAAATAGATATACAAAAATAGATAGCGGTATAAGTCAAAGATGGGTCTTCTCACCGGGTTCATCCAATCTATACATTTAGGCGATTCTGAGATAAATAAAACTCTATCCAAGATTAATTATTGGTGTCCACAATCTTAACAACCTAAGATACGCATATGATACACTGTTATTAGAGGACGCAGAAACAACTGCAAGAGCTCCTACAGAAGATAATGAAGCTATATTCAAAAATAGATTGCCTGAAGTTATACAGATTGAAATAATATTAGTTTCAATTCTGTAAAATCTAACAAATACTAAAATCTAACAAATAGTGAAGGAAAGCGAGAAGAAATGAATAAACATTAATTGGGAGCAGTTGTAATACATAGGGATTATCAAAAGGAAAAGGAAAAATTACAAGTTGCAGTTACAAAAATCAATTTAATACAAACATTTTAATATCTAAAAGTGCGATACTTAAATCCGAAGGCATATTTGGGATAGCGAAAGGTGCCTTCAAAAAGTTAAGCAAAGTATTAAGGAACAGAAAAAAAATCGTTAGAAACAAAGAAAACTGTAGTGAATTGTTACGTATTATCAGCCATCATATGTGACAATGAATGTTGGACAATCTCCTCACAGATGAGTGGGGAAACATGAAGCTATGGTTGTTCTACAAAATGATACTGAGAATAATATGAACCATGCATGTGAAATACGACGAATCTTTTTGGAAAATGGCAATAAAAACCACTCCTATACTAAACATCAGGAAGAGATAGTTGAACATTTTGGGGCAGATAATAAGTGAAAAGAGCTTGGAAATGTTTATACAGACAGGACAGATTAAAAGCTAGAGAGGCAAAGGAAATCGATGCATAAAGCACCTAAAGAACTTGAGTAAATGGATGGCGGGACGAGGTTAAGGAGAGATAACAAAAATACATTATTTATTAAGACTGACAAACTACAGTAAAATGTGGGGAGTCATGATGACCAACGTCCTGAAGGTACACGATACATAAAAGATGAGAAATTATGCAATTCAGGTAATAAATTCAGTCAATCTATCTATCTATCTATCTATCTATCTATATCTATCTATCTATCTATCTATCACCGACTTTTCATTATCTATCTATCTATCGATCGATCGATCGATCGATCTATCTATCTATCAATCTTTTCATTATCTATCTATCGATATATAATATATATATATATATATATATATATATATATCACCGTCCTTTCATTATCTATCTATCTATCGTCATTATCTTTTAAATATCTATCTATCGCTTATATTACTCTATTTTTTATAATGAATATATTTGTATTCCCATAATTGTAATATCAGTCTATTTACATTTCATATTTGGTAATCCATACTTCACTTGTTTTATTAGAAGTTCGGACATTTAAACAGGCTTTCACCACATACAAGCAAGGAAAACTAACAACACTGAAAAGTAATGCTTTCGAAAGCAAATGAAACGCATTTATTTTACATTATAATGATTCTTTTTACGTCAAATTATATATAATCCAGTGTTGTCATTCATTTGAAACAATAAAAATATTAATTGATAAAAATACAATTTAAAATGAATCCTTAATGAAGTGCGATTCGAGTGCATGTATTATTTTTTTTTGGATACAATGTGCATTAAAAATGCCTTCATTGCTTCTAAATTATTTTTCCTTCAGTCACCATCGATCCATTTCTCCGCCACATTTCTCTCTCAACGCCGATCTTCAAGAACGAAGAGTAAACGTTGGTTCTTTGCTTCAGGGCTTTTACACCTTTCCGTAATAAGTGCCAACGAAAAGAATACATCTCACATTCGGGGTCGATGTCACGATGCAGAAGCCACTAGGTGGCGCGTCAGGGTAATAATTATGCCCGAAGCCATTGTGCATTGATATTTATTGAGAGACGTTTCGATTTCCTGCATGTACGACCGCTGTCATAAATTCTTACGTTCTTTCATAATACGGCATATTCTCAATATGAGCGAAAGGAGCGCCATAATATTGATGTAGAGTGCATAAATGTGTTCAACTTGACGTAATGTACTCTTGAAGAAGCTAGTCTGGCATATTATTATTCGTCAAAATGTATATTTACTTGCAGCAGGACTAATTGCTATAGTTATAGAATAGCTATAGAATTCCGAGAGGCTACTAAAATACATAGATACATACATACATATATATATATATATATATATATATATATATATATATATATATATACGGATGTATTTAAATGGGACTATAAGCTTACGGCTTACATTAGCCATTACCAAAATGACAATGTCAATAAATCAAACAACACAGACGAAAACACAATGATAGTCCGCCCTTGCTGCCAGAATCTTAAATTGGATTTAAATATGTATCAATATGTTTAAATCCAAACAATTTCAGAAAATACGAAAAGAACTTACTTAAAATAAATAGACAAAACTTGTCTATATTATTTAATGAAACATGCATTAATATATATATATATATATATATATATATATATATATATATATATATATATATATATATATATATATATCCAAGTTTCTTGAAAACGGCTGACAAGGTGTGGTGGTTCAGATTTTTTAAATAATTTCTCATGTAATCGTATCATTCTTTTCAGGACGTAAATTTTATAAAAAAATTCAGACAGTTTACGAAGTGTTTATCGGATATACTTTTGGCAATTATTAAGGACACATTTGAACAGAAATAATCTTACGAAAATCCATCTGTAATATACTAGTAGAAGATACAAATATAAAATAAACATTGACATGTAAAAATGAAGAAAAATAAGGCAAGCTTTAATTAAAAAAATAAAGACAACACTCAATAAGTTTAACTATGTAAACGGCTGACTGTATTCGGTGTATAAAAAAAAATGTTCCTATAACTTCAGGCACATGCACGAAAAACACTCATTCAGATAAAAATTAAAAAAAAAGGTCTTGATAATAGTTTAAAGAATAGCCGAAACCGTTCAGATATGCAGAACATTCGTACCGATTTTACACACTTTGTATCCCGAAAAGAAAACAGTTATGAACACAAGTAGAAAGAAATAAATAGCTTAAACGGAGTACCTTGACAATCGTCTTTAACGGAACTTGTATAAAAGATGGACTGCTGCCTAACTACACAGAAACACACTCACACATACAATATATATATATATATATATATATATATATATATATATATATATATATATATATATATATATATATATATATATATATACAGTTATAGGATTGATATTGACGGAATGAATTTCCAGTAACCAAAAACACTATTCTTAAAGTAGTGCTCAATGTAGAGTAGACCAAATGGTTTGTTGGCACTCGCTAATTAATACTTTTAGGCTTGAATCTCAGTGTGTCCGCCTCTGTCTTTATTAGTGTACGTGTGTGTGATTGCTTGTATACATGATTTTAATTATATATATATATATATATATATATATATATATATATATATATATATATATATGTGTGTGTGTGTGTGTGTGTGTGTGTGTGTGTGTGTGTGTGTGTGTGCGTGACATGAATTTTTTTTTTTGACGGCGATTTCTGTATATCCTGTGTCGTCCGTGTTTTTGCGCGTTTATATATCTAAATATATTTACGTATTTAAGTGTATTATGATGCGATGATGTCTGTCTTGTCATTTGTAAAACTTCTCTCCCTGCCGATATCAACTTAATTCAGATCCTTTCAATTGTATCTAATCTGTTACGATGTTTGAATCTCCTTAAATTAGTGTTACTCTAACTGAAAATTTGACTCTTCGTTTAAAATAATAAATAAAAAAAAATGTATGTATATTTCAATCCGTTCTTCTCTCAATAATTTTATAATATTTAAGATTAATGCAAGGTTAATTTTAAAATTTGCAAGTTTTACTCTTTAACTTTATAGTAAAATTAAAAATAAATGAGTAAGAATGATTTCTAATTTCGTCTAACATTAACATTAAAGTATTAATAAATTGTATCTAAGGATCGTTGTCAAGTGTTTTGAATTATCATATACTTGTATTTCCATTGGTCATTATATCTTATTTAACAATGTTTCCCCACGTGACGGGAGTGTGGTTGGTTTTGAACTTTTTAAAACTCTTTATTCTTCAATCAACACCACCAGTTGTCATGACACCAGAAGGGTTGAAAGAAAATGGCAATTTTATTAGTGATGTTATAATATGTTTATGTTATGATTTTTGAACAAACACCTCATATATATATATATATATATATATATATATATATATATATATATATATTAATTCATCGAGTCTGATAGAAACCTCAACAGAATGCAGAAAGCACTGGACGGCCGTTTCGTCCTATATTTGGCATCAGCAGGTTGCGCACTGCTGATGAGTCCCAAATGTAGGACGAAACGGCCGCCCAGTGCTTTCTGCATTCTGTTGAGGTTTCTATCAGACTCGATGAATTAATTAAATATAATTATCAAGTCCTCCGAATAATTACTATCTGTATATATATATATATATATATATATATATATATATATATATATAATATAGTATATTAGTATCTTTGAATATTACTAATATAAGAATTTTAATGTCCATTATGACGTTGTTTTATAATTATATGAGTGTATTGTAATTTTAGCAATTGGTGTCAGCTATACTACAGCTTTTACAATTACGTTTCGTTTATGTGCCACTTGGGTATTTTCGTAATGTAAACTCTGCAAACTGGTTTATGAAAATACAATAAAGGCGAGAAATAATTTACAAAATATTACTCAGTATTCACTAATTTGTAAGGTCGTCGAAAATTTGGGAATGCTGTAATTTTTACTTTTACGAATTAAGTTGAACTGAAAAATAAATTATTAATTTAATTTACGCTATTCATTAGAAAAGTTGGAACACAAGAAGTTAAAAGTTACATTTATTAAACTTAGATGTTTATTTGGTAATAAAAATATTTCCCAATTTTTAATATCGACTTTTAGGAAGGAAAAATATTTTTTTAACAATTTCCTGAATGTGAGCATTCATTCTTTTGAATATGGCAAAGAAATGGTTTAGGGGATGTCTGAAGAATCCAACCTTTGATCAAAATTGAGGTCGTAATGATACTACTTAAATCTGTTGATTTTTATCTATCTATCTATCTATCTATCTATCTATCTATCTATCTATCTATCTATCTATGTGTGTCTGGTTGATACGTCTCTCTATGTCTGTTTGTCTGTCTCTCTCTCTCTATTTCTTTCTCTCTCTCTCTCTATATATATATATATATATATATATATATATATATATATATATATAAATAAATTGATAAATGTTCAATCGACTGATCACATGACCATGATAAGTTGAGCGTCAATAGATTAAATCCTTGAAATATTTTTGAACGTTTATTCATTCTATATCTCCGCTCTGTTTCTGGATTTGAACTTTTCTGATTAACTTGAAATTAAAATGAATAGAATAAATAATAAAATGTTATTCATGTTATGCAGTGTGATTGACGCTATTGATTTATAATATTGTATATGCATATAATGAAATCCATTCAGGACGATCAATAGTGGGTCAAAGCTTCCTTAGAAATCATTAGCTGTTTACCTAGAGAGACGAATGCAGTATTTCTTCCCTGAAAGAAGACATTGCGACTTAAGATGCTTAACCAATTCAGAACTGATTACAAACTCTAGTACATTATCAAGAGATATCATCTTATTAGGACGATAATTAGAAGGAACAGAGGTTTCCCCAGATTTCTTAGAATGGAAATACAGATTTACAAGAATCAGGAAAGGAAGGACCAGCAAAGCATTTATTGTTGAGATAGAACAGGTTTTATTCCAGAAATACGTTCATTGAGGACAGTTACAGTTGCTTTTGGGGGGAACACAGTTTGTAGACGGCAGAAAACATAGCAACTCAGCAGAGTTTGGGCGCTAAGGGGAAACTCAGGGAAAGATATTTAAGATGAGTCAAGTGTAGTATTTGAAGAGAATTTACGAGTAAAACATTCTTCTTTTAGAAATGAAAGATGTTAACACTTCAAACTGAGTGAAAGGATAGAAGGACATAAGGATTACTCTTATTTAACATACTATTAGAAAGTTGCCAATTCCGAGAAACACATGTATGTGACGCTATACGTTGCCTCATAATGTCATCGAAC